GTCCAGACCGGCTCTGGGGCCCACCCAGCCTCCTCTACAATGGGTACCGGGGTCCCTTCCCGGGGGTAAAGCCCCCATCTAGTGCCGAGGTCAAGGAAGAGAGGAGCTATACCTCCACTCACCCCAAACGCCTACATGGCGTATATTGGGACAAACTTTACTTTACTTTCTGGAGGGCTGTGATGCCACCTGGATTTGTAGGCAATTGCCAATGTTCCTCCAAAACACTAAAAGTTATTATTAAAATATATACTATAATTTCACTCTTGTCTTAAGAAGAATCTGTTTCTTTTCAGGTTAATGAGTTCATGGCCATGCCTCTTGACATGAAGACGCATCTTAAATGGAAACTCTGTCTTGAGCGCTGTGCTGCTAGGATCTTGGTATTACCTTCATCATCAGATCGCCCTCGCCCTCTTATATCCTTGCTTTCCTGCACTGTGGCAGACCTTTCAGAAGCAGTTGCTTGCATTCCAGTTTTTTCCATTAGTTGTGATTTATTGTTTAATTACATTTACAGTTACATTTTCTATACTTCAGTATTACATTTTTTAGAAAAAGTCATAATTCAAGTTTAAAATTTTTATTTAATGCAATATTTCCATTTAACATGTTAATAAATGCGGTGCACATGAAGATGCATATATCACACACATTCAGATATCATCTGAATTATATCACATCTTTAGAACAGTTGAGTTTACTTTTCTATGTGAACTGTTACGAGGAAGTTCTTTATAAGACAGAACTGAGTATGTACATTGAACTATTTGTGTGTTATATGCAATTATGATCATTATATGACATTATTATTTCAAAATAAACAATAAAATCTTCATACAGAAAAGAATTTGAATTCCTCTCAAATTTATATAATTACATTAAACATATACATTATATAAGAATAATCATATCAAGTTGGAGAGAAAATTATAAATTCTTATGTAAAACGTGTTTCAAACAATTATCCCATTTGATATACTGCGCTTTAACATTGATTTAAAGAAGGAGGAAAATCAAAGCTTTGTCACATTAATGCAGAAAACGTTTGGCTTAATGTTGATGTAAAATCCTCGTTGTAGTTCTACTAGATAAAACTCTTGCATAGATATGGTGTTTGATACTCTAAAGTGCACAAATTTTATAACATATTTCAGCTACCACAGACCCATCTTAAGCCTCAAGTTAAATAAGCAATTTCTTAATCAAACTATTTACTCAATTTATAGGAAGTAATAAAGGTTCTACATCATCATCATCTTCTTTTTCTTCTTCTAAATCAGTCCTGTAACACAGATTGAGATCACAGAGATAAAGGAGATTATTGTAAGTGGATGATGGGGTGCCCCTTGGCTCCTGCGACTCTTGCTTATGTCAGGCAACCAATTCCCACCAGAACCTATCCTCACCAGGAGGAGAATGTGGATTGATGCTGTACTGTTTTATTCTGCTTATTTTATGGTGTAAAGCCATTCATTTGTGGTTTGAATTACAGTGATGCTGTGTTAATTCAGCAAGATAAGGAATTTATAGTAAAACTGTTGAGAGAAATTAAGGGCTTATTTCATAATTATGTCATTAATGTAATTGAAAAAGTATAACCTAGAATGAAATGTATCGCTGTATAATGTGGATAAAACTATCACAATGTTCAAGAAACTAAGGATACAGGGCTGCTGTTGCTGTGAAGAAATATTTGCAAGGAGGGGGCTTAAAGCATGCAGAGGAAATACTGTTGATTGCATGGTTGTGTTCAAATAATGTCCTGTCACATCTGTGAGGCAGTTATAACTTTGAGATTAATTATAGAGAAAAAGCTAGAGAAGGATAAGGAAACCTTTATTGCATATGTTGATGTTGAGAAAGCATTCGACAATGTTAAATGGGGGTTGGTGTTTGAAATACTGAGGAAAGCAGGAGTTAACTATAGAGATCGAAGAATGATTTGGGAATTGTATGGGAATGAACGGGCTGTAATCAGACAAGGGGACCAACAGGAAGAGGCAAAAGTCAACAAAGGGGTGATGCAAGGATGTGCGCTATCTCCCATAATATTTAATGCTTATATACAGAATGCCCTTGATAAAGTCAGAGATGAAATCACTGTAGGAGTGAAGATACAAGGAGAGACGATAGACATGCTCAGATTTGCAGACGACATCGCAATATTGGCAGAGAGTGAACAAGACCTCACAAATATTCTGAATAAGATGGAAGAGATTATGGGGAAGGAGTATAATATGAATATAAACAAAAGAAAAACTAAAGTTATGGCTTGCAACAAGGATGGAGACGCACATGCACGAATATCTGTAAACAATCAGATGATAGAGGAAGTCGGTGGGGAGTAAGATCACTAAGGACGGGCGAAGCAAGAGAGAGGGAGGCTGCAGAACTAACCAGGCAAAAAATGCATTCAATACGAAGAAAAGGCTATTGACCTCGGATAATATCAGAACTGAAGAAAAGAAAAGATTTGCCTCCTTTGAGATGTGGTGTTATAGAAAATACTGAAAATAAGAAGGGTGGATAAAGTTACCAATGCTGAAGTATGCAGAAGGATAGGTGAGAACGGAAGCCTGTGGAAAATGTAGACTAAAAGAAGAGATGAACTGGTTGGCCACGCCTTACGACACGAAGGGCTGTTAAAAACCATTATAAAAGGAAATGTAGAAGGGAACAGATGTAGAGGAAGACAAGAGAAGTACATAAAAGAAATCATTGGCGATGTAGGCCGCCAGAGCTATCAAGAAATGAAAAAGGAAGGCAGAAAGGAGATTGGAATGGAGAACTGCAAACCAATCTTAGGATTGAATACTTAAGAAGAAGAAGAAGAAGAAGAAGAAGAAGAAGAAGAAGAAGAAGAAGAAGAAGAAGAAGAAGAAGAAGAAGAAGAAGAAGAAGAAGAAGAAGAAGAAGAAGAAGAAGAAGAAGAAGAAGAAGAAGAAGAAGAAGAAGAAGAAGAAGAAGAAGAAGAAGTTTGTACTTAATTTAAATCAAAAGAAAGTGAGGGTTTTTGTTGATAACATACTGCTTGGTGCAAAACAATTATTTTCCTTGAACAATAGCAATGAGTGGCTCTTCGGGTTTGATTGAAAATCATATAAATTGTGTAGATCATTCCTAAGTGTGTGTTTAGTTGCTATGCTACAGAGAAAAATATTTCCCATTTTGTATGTTAAAATTAAGTATTTTATTTGTAATCAAATCTCATTTTTTATCAGAAACTGAACCTGTAACAGTGTTTCTCGCAGTGATACTTATCTGTCGTTAAAGCTGCAGTGAGACCAAAAAAATCACAAAAGAAGAAACTGAAACAGTTTGAATGTTTGAATTGGATGGTATTCGTTAACTGCACAGGCAGACCTGCTGCATGTAGAAGCTGGCTTGTCGGAGGAGCAGAGGGAGGGACAAGGCATATATCGGAACCTGAGCTCTAAATATCTCCTACTCCTTACTGATTGTCTTCTCCAGTCACATCGCTTTGCCAAGGCCTTCAATTCAAATCATGAACAACGTAACCTACTCTGGAAAGCAGGTCAGCAAACTATATTAAAATGTTATATATTTAGATTTATATACAAAGTCACATTTAAAACAGTTCCCTTGTTATCAGCTGCTACATCATAGAAACATTCTTTATTTAGACGTTTTAAATTAAACCTCTATATTAAAACATTTTACTGAGATATTTTTCTCATTCTCAACAGATTAATGAAATTAATTGATTGAAGGCTGTCAATTTAATCATTTATCTAAACTCTTACGGAGTGAATGGTTTATATTTCATCTTCCCAGGTAATTGCAGGTGCTATCTTCAGGGTCGGTATGTGTTGCCTGGGAATGTTTGGAATCCTTATATAGGACAGACAATAGGTGGAAAGTGGGAGAGCAGACTGCCTGCAGCCAAAGTTGAACATTTCTTGTGTCAGCAGGTTTCAGAGGTAATGCGAAACCAAACCTTTTGAAGCAGGAGACTTCGGATCCTGTTCAAAATGTACGGTGATGAAACGAGGCAGGACGCGTGGCCGACCATCCAGCAGCGCCTTATTGCGGTATGTCGCGAAGCATCAGAGTACTTTCTGTGCCTCCAATCTGAGGCTCACCGTGATGCCTGGACTTGCCTTCTCCTCCTGGTCCTTACAAGGATATTCAGGATGTCTGATGAAAGGGTAAGATATCAGTGTAGGATAAAATAAAGCTGTCCCACTACATGCCATTGGGCTCTTACTCATTCCTGACTGTGGTTCTAGATGGGGGTGAGTGGTCAGCATCACACCCCAGCCACACTTTACTTCCAGGAAAGGTACCCCTGACACTCATTGGATAGGAGGCTGGGTGGACCTCAGAGCTGGTCTGGATGCAGAGGCTGAAATAGAATTCCTGTGCCTCTGCTGAGCATTGAACCCCAATCATCTAGTCTCTATTCCTGAGCTACCCTGGCTCCCATATTTTATAGAATATTCTATTTTATTATGTCGTTGAATGTAAAGTATTTGTATCACTTTAATTTTTGTGGTTTTGTGGCACCCAACCCGGTTCCATATCTGTTGCAGTTGCTGTTGTTGTGACTAGTGGGTTTGATGATTTCACCTTTTATCATGTGGAATCCCTGTAAAGGACACTATGTTTTTTTTTTATCAGGCGTTTCAAAACAATTAAGTTCATTACAATCCCACAGAGCAGTTACAGTGACAGATGTTTAGAATCTGTACAATTTCTGTAGAACTGTTTCATAGACTAGAGCAGCCGCATTTATTTGGCCTCGTAGCTCTGGCAAGGACTGGCATTGGTGGTCTGTGGATGCACAAACTGATAATAAAGAGGATTAATACATGACATTTCGGACACTCCCAGTTTACGTATATTTGTGCCTAAATTAGGCCAACTTAATATTAGTAGGTAATGAAATATTTACGAAACAGTTAGTGATTATGCAACAGAATTTTTACAAAATGGAAGGTGTTTTCAAGTAGTAAACATTTGTAGTGTTGCAGAGTATACAAAAGTTGCAGAGATTATGTTTATGCCATACACTGTCCTGTCCTACATTATCTCGTTAGAGATTACAATTCATAATAAAAGTAACCTTCCGTAGTTGGTTAGACAGTTTAGTAATTCACTTCATTCAACAAACTTTCTGTTGATATTATTATGGCAACATAATTCAGCACTTTATGTCGGGTGGTGAAGCCAGGGGTAGAATAATTTGTATGATCACCGATAGTTGGCAGCTTGGGGAATGACATCAATCTTTTCTGACTCATACATCAAATAGTTAATATGACCACTCACAGAATGCAGCATTAATAGTTCACTTGATCATTCATAGATGGTAGTGTGGAATGCGATAACTATATTGTGCATCAAGAGTTAATTAAGTCCATGTGACATACGCAGCCTTGGAAATGGCTTGCTGTACTAGTAGCAGACGGAAAAATAATGTGCTTGTTCTAATTTGATTTAAACTTTCCCGGTAATGCTTACATCACTGGAAGTTATGAAATAGTAAAAACAAAGCAAATAGATTAATAATTATGCAGTGGAACCTCGACATACAGCTCCTTGTTATAGAGCGAACTCAGATATACCACATCTGTGATTACATGTGTTTTACGTCAAAAACTTTCTCTACAGTTATGTAATTTTTCATAATCTAATTGTTGTTATTTTGTTATATTCTTCTCTTGTGTTGTATCTGTAGTTAGCCGTCTGGCTGTTGATGCAACACACTAATAATAAAGAACTGTATTATTATTAGATTGTAGTATACAAAGTGTTATTTTAT